GCCCCGCGCGGCCTCCGACCTCGCCGTCCCCCCCTCCTACCCCGAGGCAAGCACCCGCCGCCCCTCGTATCTAAACCCTAGCCGCCGGTGCCGCGGCCGCCTCGTTCTTTCCCCAGATCTGCGGCCCGGCCCCCGACCGATCTGGGAAAATTGACTTCTTTTGGCTCCGTGTGGTGGGTGCAGATGATCGTGGAGGCCATCGCGTCGCTCCGGGAGCCCAACGGCTCCAGCCAGGCCGCCATCGCGCGCCGCATCGAGGCGGCCCACGGCGCCGGCGGCGACCTCCCGCCGTCGCACCCCGCGCTCGTCGCCGCGCACCTCTCCCGCATGTCCGCCGCCGCCGAGCTCGTCGCCGTCGCCGGGGGCAAGTACGCGCTCCCCCCGCCGCCCTCCAGCTCCCTCGTCGAGGAGGAGGACATGGAGGCGGAGGTGGGGGAGGAGGACGACGAATCCTCCGACGACGCGCCGCTGCTGCTGCCGCCCCCGCCTCCCGCCAAGCGCGGCCGCGGCCGGCCCCCGAAGGTGCGCCCGCCAGGCTACTACCCCGTGGGGGCTCCCGCCATCATCGGCGCCCCTCCTAGCGACGGACTAGCCGTCGCCGTCGCCGTCGCCACCGCGCCGCGCCGGCGGGGCCGCCCGCCCAAGCCGCGGGACCCAGACGCGCCGCCCAAGATCCCGCGCCCGCGCGGCCGGCCGCGCAAGAACCCGCTCCCGGACGGCATGGCGCCGGTCCCGCGGCCCGGCTCCGCCGCGGCCAAGCCGCGCCCGCAGTTCGCCGAGGTCGGCTTCGTGTGAGCGAGGCCGGGCCGGAGCGAGCGAGCTAACATTTCCACTTTGTGCCTGGTGTCCGTCCGTTCTGTTCAGCGTGGGGGTCATTTCTCCGTTCGTGTTGTTCTAATTGGAGGTGGAAGACGAGACGATGCAGCAGCAGCGTCTGTCCAGCGAGTGTGGGTGGTGTTTCAGTCCGTGGTGTGGTGTTGGTCGCCGGAGGGCGCGTCGTCTCCCCCGGCGACGGACGGTGTATCTCTCTGTATCTCTGTCAGCGCAGCGCACACTTAGTCGATCCTTTCCTTCCACCAGGAGGACACAACGAGCCGAGGCGTCTGCTTCTGCTCCAGTGACTGTATTGATGCTCTTCTCAGTTCATTTCAAGCGTGAATCACATTGATTTTTGTTCCTTTTGACCTCCATCTCCCATGGTTTCCGGTTGTCGATCTGTGATGTTAACACTGCTCTCCAGTAGCTGTTAAAATGCATTTGCAAGTGAACGCTGCTCCATTTCTTGCATGATTTCAAACATTTGCTTGCCCAATGGAGCATGTTGTCCCTTGTGCAAGGACTGGGATCACGCGTGATATGCCTTGCCTCCGCCACGGTGTTCTCTGGACCGCGAACGAGATGCTGGTGCACGACAGAATCTGGTGATCTGCTGACGCGGGGAGGCGTCCCCGGAGAGAAAACGGATCAGCCGGCGATCGGATGCTGTTGTACTGGCGATGGCGACGCTGAAGTACTAGGCGAGTAGCAGTCCTAGGCAGTTTCAAGAATGTTCATGGCTGGCATCAATGCAGGTAGAGAGAGATGGGTGAGCACGACATGGCCCGGGCTCCGGTGCTTTATCATCTCCCTGGTTAAAGAGCGGTTCAATCCAATTTCATTCCATCATCCCAACGGTGGTGACGGCAGCCATGGCTCCATGCGGTGCTGAGTTCGAGACGAGTTGCTCGCGTCGTCTTCTTCCTCGTTCGAGTTGAGCGAAATGGCTTCGATCTTGCTCCCTCCGTCCGAAAATACTAGTCATCAAAAGAAATAAAAGGAGATGTATCATAGTACCTGCTCTGAAAGAAACGCGAGTTAGCTGGGAATGTGTGCGGCTTGGCTGCATCGGCAAAGCTTCAGTGATGGTGTATTCCGATGGCTCTTTCTGCCGCCTCACTTTTCTCCCCTGCTACAGCAACCTTGGGCGATCTCTTTGGTGATTCAAACCCTCTGTTACTCTGTTTCAAACCGCAACTTGGGAAAGGGACGACAGCGTATGGGCGCATCTTCGTCGTGAAGCTACGACCGCTTCGTCGAACTGCCGTGCGCTCAGTTCACTTTCCTAGTTCTTCACCTCAACCTATCCACGAATGTTCTTTTCCTCCTGAAAAATCAAAGAGGATTGGCACGCTTTATAAGAAAACACAAAAACATACCGTGCAAAACAAGTTCCGCCAGAAGAGAGCCTAAGGGCATCTCCCGTGAACCTAAGGGCATCTCCCGCGAACCGTACGGACCGCGGAAGGCATCCAATGCGGGCCTGTATCGGTCCAAGGCGCGGTCCGGATGCGTTTTCTCCCGCAAATTAGAGACAGTGAGGGGAGGTTTACGGAAGTCCGGACAACAGACACCCCCGGCCCACCCATTCCCCCTTCCGGTCTCATTACCTTCCACTCACTCCTTCTCCCCCTTACTTTGCATCCGCATCCTCCACCTCCGCCTCCGCCGCCGCCGTTGTACATCTCCTCCCGCCACAGAGGCATTGCCGGGCGTCCGCAACCAGCACCGACGCGCTCGCTCGCCATTACAACGGAGTTGTCCACCCTCGAGCTGTTCGTATCCAGGTACACTCTGCCCGGACACCACACCCGTAGGTGTTTGGTCAAATGTCATTGAGTTTTTTTTCAAATGCTATGTCATTTTTTAGAGTACGAAGGATGGTGAGCTACTCGACCATGGAGGATGAGTTGTTATCCGATGCGTGTTTGGCCGTATTCACGGATTACGTAGGCAGGAGTAGAGGGGAGCCTTTCTGGCAGCATATGCATGAAAAGTTTCACGCACGAAAGCACATTGCACCCTACGACATGTACATCATTCAACTACGCAACTTGAGGTCGTTATCGTATTGCCGGTACACTATCCAGGCCAGCGTCACCAAGTATTGCGACATGGTTCGTCAGCTCGAGGCAAAAGCTGGCCATTGCACGTGGCAAAGGATGAGACCGTAAGTTTTGCTTCCTCTTGCCCAATTTGTTGATTGAATCATTCACTCAATGTTGGTGTATATATTGTATGTAGCCCGCACGCGCTGCCGTGGTATACCACAAGATAGAGGGACGATCATTTACGTGCACACACTGTTGGATGAAGCCGAAGGGGGAGTATTATGTGGAACAACATGATCCGTTGATGAAAAACTTGTTGTACTATACTTAATTTGCAAAACTTGAAGCATCGTCAGACCAAAAAGCTGCACTAGCAAGGCAAACCTCCGATAGATGTACGCCTATCTGAACAGGAAGAGAACATTGACAACCACCCTGACCAGTGATGCTTTCCCAAAGTGGCAATAGTGACATACTCAAACTGGTCCTCACAACACCATATCATGTCCAGGACTCCAAGGCGACGCTCCCTCCTCACAACAGCATATCATGTCAAGGTCTCCAAGGAGGGAGGGACGCCGTGAGCAGTGAGCAGCTACTGTCATTCAATTTGGCAAATATGAGATATGAGGTTTTCACCCTACGGACAAATATGCGGTAGGGAAGTCGCCGAACCTACGAGTGTGTATGAATTTTTGTAGTTTCACAATTTTAAGAAGCACGACCAAGATTTAGCAAATAACATGATGTAAGAATCTTAGATCTTGGTCTAGAAGTGTAAGATCGGCGGAAAAATCCATTCTTAGAATAAAACCATGATCGACATGGATCAAACCCCATGTCAAGCACTCATGTTTTTTCTGGCAAACTTGCCCTCCATAGAGGGCCGGTCCTATTTGGCGCATAGGTCGTGCGTGCCCCTAACATGCGTATGTCCTCTGTATGGGCCTGCCCATGCTGGGTTCTTTCCACTGATTTGGGAAGGTTCTAGAACCTTCCTTGAACCTGTTTTCCTTTGTTTTTTCTCCTATTTTTTCTTTCTTTTTATCATTTTTGTCTTTCATTTTTATTTTTATTTATTTTTAAGTTTTTTTCATGTTTGTTTTTTATTTTCGTTTTTACCTTTCCTTTTTCCTTTTTTCTTTTTGCAAACATCTTTCAAAATTGTGAAAAAAATTTGAATTCGTAAAAGATTTTGGAAATCATGAAGATTTTGTATTCGCAAACATCATTTTGAAATCATGAACATTTGTCAAATTCGCAAGAAATATTTTGAAGTCATGAACATTTTTTTGGATTTGCTATCATTTTCTACAAATCCGTGAACATTTTTTGAAATTGTGAACATATTTTTTGAAACTCAAGAACATTTTTAGAATATAGTTTTTTTAAATTCGTGATCATTTTTTTCTTAATATTTTTTTTAATCATGAGCATTTTTCGACTTCATGACTTTTTAATTTATAAACATTTTTTTCAAATACACGGCCATTTTTAATTCCCGAACATCTTTATGAAATCATGAAGATTTTTTCAATACGTGACATTTTTTTACAAATTCGTGACATTTTTTAAAATTGTGAACATTGTTTTGAAACTTGTGAACATTCTTTTGAAATGGTAAACATTTTTTGAATCAGCGAACATTTTTTGAATTCGGTTATTTGTTCAAATTTGGAAACATTTTTTGAATGCGCAATCACTTTTTTAGATCATTAACTCTTTTTGATTTCCTGAACATTTCTTTCAAAATCATGAACAAGTTTGGAATATGCGAACATTTTTTGGATCTTCAAATTTTTTATGATGTATTGAACATTTGTTTTTCCAAATTTAACAATTTCCAATATATTTTGAAATCCCAAATTATTATAAAGAAGAATAAAATACAGAAAATAAAAAGAAAAACACATAGAAAAAATGGGTGCCCCGTCCCTCACATGGGCCGGCCTTAAAGGGCGCGCGTTGGCTTGTTCGCCCGAGTGCATCGCGCTAAAATAGGAGGTCCCTCTTGTTATAGTGGAAAGGCCTATTGCAAACTGGGCCAGAACCCAGACGATTATAAGATCAATGCTGCACGGTACAAGCAAAATAAAAAACATAAAAAAATTGAATTACAACTTTGCCATGAAGAGGCACGTGTAAACAACTATCGCAAAGAAAGCGACACGTCGACCTCCAGGCCACCATGAAGGCGGACAAGTGCTGATGAGTCTGGTTGTCCGCCGACCAAGGGGTTGACTGCCAACGCCGATGAACAGAAGCCCGAGGTCGTAACCATCAAATGTTGAAGAGCAACAACACTATAGTCCATTAGCAAATCCTTCCATATAGGGTTTGGAGGGAGAAGACGAGCTTGGCCTCAAACAACTTGGATGATCACCATCGCCTATCACCGAGGAAGCGCCCCTAGATAAAGTAGAGGCCGTCGAGTGGAAATTGAAGGTTTGGGTCAAAGCATGAGAGAATTATTCAAGGCCCAAAAATCCTGGAAGGGGGCTACGATGGATGTCGAAGAGAAGCTGGATATGATCCCATCATGTTTATCACTATAAGGCGAGCTCTCTCCAGTGTACAAAAGAAAGCAAAAATAACACATCAACAAATCGAGATGAGAGAGACACCGGGAACTAGTCATGAAGCCATGGGCCTCCTCCAAACCAGCTTGCTTCAACTTCCAGATGACCTGCTCCCAAATCTGAATGGAAGCACAGAGTAAGAACAAACCGGATACCGAAGATAAGAGGGAACAAGACCGCCCGAGAAGGGACCAACATGATGCATGTATTTTTATTAGAACGGATCAACTCTCCGCCCCTCTCCCCCAACGCCCTCTCATTTTGTTACCCGTGAGCCCCTCCCCTTCCCGTCTCTCGCCAGTGACGTATAGGGCGTGGGACCCTTTTCCACTTTAATTCCCCCCCTCCG